CGATAATTTAACAGCAGTGTCATTTTATCTATGTTACAACACAAGCATATGCATGCATGTGTTTAGTGTCGTGTATGCAAAGCTACAAAATCATTTAGTTTTATAGAATATTATTTTGTCCGTCAGTCGATTTTAAAGATATTAACAGGTTCAAAGAAACAAAACCTTTATAACAAAATCTTTAGACAATTCAACTCCCTTCATACCATTCCAGCTGGCGAAGAATGAATATCGACAATAATGCTTTATATGAAGACTAGGAATCGGACTACATATCGACAGGGGTTAGGAATTCTATATGGTAGGTGCTGATACCGTCAAAGATTTTTTTCAAACAGTCATTTCTAGATTTTCCAATCTCGAGTTGAATATTAGCACTAGATCAAAGATCACACTTAATATTTGGTGATCGTAGTTCAGTTAGATCCGATGGATGTTGATCGTTCATCAGATCACATGGTGATCTTACTTTAAATAGAGCAGATATGGATTTTTCTTCAATTAGAAAAGATACCTAAAATGAGGCAGGCCCGGCCTTATAGTCTGCTAGACCGAATGTGCCACACTGGCAGCTGGACCATATCTTATAGCTTGCCAGGCACAAGACATCGATGGCCTGTCAGTTTTGTTTTTGTCGTTGGTTTTGCTCCCCTGGCCAAAAAGCTGGCCTTGAATTGCGGAAAGGTAGATTGCGGTCTGATATGTCATAACGAATACGATTTTGTATAGGTAGTCAGTACAGACGTGAAAACAAAGCATTCGTGGGAAGTAAAATACCAAGTTCTCAAGTTATTTTCTTGAATTTATCAGCCCTAATCTATACTGTTATGTGTGTCTTTGTATTGTACAGATGTAATCCATCAGTATAACTGTTTTAGAAAATTTGCTGATATTTATTTATCGCATTTCTGTTTTGCGATCTACACTACAAAAACAAAGATTTTACAATTTTACTTTGCCAGCCATTGTTTTCAATTTTGTTGCTTTGAATTTTGTTATTGAAAAGTGAATATTTTTATTACTTCGTATTCTTATAGCATGCATGTTTTGATAGTTTGGTGCATATCTGCTGCTGTCAATCTACGATTCGATTTCATCCTATATCGTATTATTAACTTTGGCAGCAATTGTATGCAGTTTTGTTGTGTTATAAGGTTTCTTGTTGAAAAGTGAATATATATGTATGCATGTTGTTTAAGCTCATTGCTGATTTGCGGATATTATTCTAGAATTGCATGCTCTATTGTACTGTTAACTTTATTAGACACCCTTTATGTGTAATATTCATGTAGTGTAAGGTATAGGTGTAGAATTTGATACTAGAATTTAATGCTGATGTATTATCACTAATTGTTGTTATTGGTAATAGATTTATAAATCTAAAATTGCTATTAACGTTATTTTTGCTTCACATAACGTTTAATCCTTCATCATTTATAATTCTTTTCCATTTCATCTATCTTTTAGTGAACTTTCCTTATGTTTCGCTTTCTGATCTTTTCAGTATTTTCTACATGGCAAATTTTTGTATCTTTCTGCAATGTGTCGAATTTTCAAGAGGTACTGAATCCTAAAGTTGAATAAATTGTGCGGCAAACTTATCATAGTCAAGCCAGAACGGTCTTGAGAAAGTTCACTCTGATATTTCTCTTATTTCATCTCTGAAACATAAAATGGCCTATATTTAAGGTTCAATGCAATTGACCCAGTCATCGTAACGTTATAGCTGAAGAGAGTACGTTAGAATTACCAACCGTATCGGTTGGAGGAGACCGTATGTCAAATAATTGTTCTTCAAAGTAAGTTAATTTCGTCATATTCAAGGCTGTAAAACTGAAGAAAGACATGATTATTTGGGAAAAATTTAGAGAGAGTTGTTTTTGATTGGTCAGTTAAAATTAAGGTGTAAACTTTATAATTGATGGAGGATATTAAAGTAGCGGCTTAGCTCAGAATTCTTTAGTCCTATTTTGCTTTGTGAGAAGACAAAAAGGTCCAGTTTCGTGTGAAACCTAAAAGAATAGAGCTTACTTTCGTAAAGACAAAAGGAGGCCAGAAAGCTGTCTTTAAAGAAAAGAAAAGAAAAACAGGCTATAGTGCTAGGATGCACGACTGTGTGGAAAAGAAACATCATTATGGTACGTAGTTTTAATTTCAATATAATATTCTATTTCATTTGTTTGGTTTTGTGCAAATGTCTTTGATATGCTTACGATTTATTCATGTATTGTGTATTCAATTTCATAGGACTGTTGATATGTTAGTATGTTATGCAATTTAATTCTTTAATTTAACAGTTATTAGTTCTTTGATATAACTGACGGATTTGTGATGTAATCCTAATATTTAAATGTGCAGTATTTCACAGGGTTATATGAATTAATCCTGATTTTCAGATGTGTAGTATTTCATAGGGTTATATGAATTAATTTTAATTTTGAAATGTGTAGTATTTCAGAGGGATTATGAATTAATCCAAATATTTAGAATTTATTACGGTTACATGAATTAATTTCCTTTGTCTGTATAATAATTGGATATTTAAATATAATATTGTGATGTATAAATGATCTTGCATGTTATTGGTTACTGTAAACTAGAATTTAGATAAACTTATAAAATAGTAATTGAACATTTATCTTATTGAGTAGAATTGGCTAGCCAGCTGTAAGGAGATGTATAGTAATGCATGCTGATATATATGGCAGCATCGTGTGTACATATCCAGCTGCAAGAAGATGATGTTTAGTAGCCAGCTGTAAGAAAACTTTAGCAAAATTTGCAGATACATACGGCAATTGTGTTTATATACACCGCCCACGTGTCCATTGCTGCTGTGAAGCGAACTCTAATTAAACCAGACTTCGATGTATTTATGGATGTATATTACAAGAGTCCAAGGGTCCCGATGAGGACAGTCCAAGAGGAAAGTCATCAAAAAGAGAGTTCAGAATAGGCAGGTTCAAAGGAAGAACAAAGCATACATGATAGATGTGGAATATATAAAGCCTGAAGAAGAACGACACCAGGTGGTGCAAGACAACGTGGAAATTCTAATGTTTTTCCAATCGTTACTCTGATGAACGCATCGGTAAATTGAACACTGTTATTAAATTACATTGATGTAATTATGTTGGATTGAAATTGAAATTCTTAGTTTATGTATTAATTAATTAAAAATTTATTTTATTTTATTGTTTACGGTTGCTCGTATTTTGTATATTTCTTCTCAATACTTTCGCATAGTTCTCTGTCAATGTTCTATCTATCTACTCACACTGGGCGATAGCCCCTAGATAACGATCACCAAATCAGATAACAGGGCACAACAAAACACCAACCCCGTAACACTTTCAAATAGCTTTTCTTTTTGAAATGTTGTCACCTGTAGTTTAATGATGAAGATTTCGAAAATAAGTGACTCGGACCGAACCTGTGTGACTAGAGAACATCTTTTACGTGACCTTTTGTCTACTGCGCATGAGCAGCAACAAATAATAAGAAACTTACAATATATAATACCTATATAAACGGAAACGTCTTCGCTGGTGATCACCGATTCTTGTGGTTCTTCATTATTTGTATGCTAATGTTATTGCAACCTGTTTATCTTAATTTTAGTAATGTCTTCCTAAATTACCTTCTGTGTAAAATTTACCTCAACTACACAAAACTAATATTTGGTAGTCATTGTTTCGTCATTTTTTCCCCTCCATTATATGTTTTGCATAACCATCAATCAGTTTAGTGCAAGTTACAAACACGATAAGCAATCCGCATAATGGCGTAGTTTTAGTGTGTTCATTGTGTTCAGGAAGTTAGGCCACGACAGCATGCGATTGCTTGTGACTTATGTGGGTTTTAGCAACATAACACGCGCAGCACTGTTAAGTACAAACTTAAATATATGTGTAAAGTTTCAAATTAATAAGATTATATTTAAGCTATAAATGTTTATGCATTATTACCACAAACATCCACCATATTTCATAAAATATATGCGTTTTACCGTTAGAAATCGTTGCAGTTAGCCATACATACTATGATTCACAATCTCAATGCTTGCAATAAACTCTTGTGAACTAAATTTAATATATATATATATATATATATATATATATATATATATATATATATATATATATATATATATATATATAATTTCCATGTGCGAAAATTTTCATATTCGGTTTATGTGGCATAACCATTCAATTGGAAATTGGGGAGCACGAGCAAACACGTTTATTATTCTTAAGTACTCGACATATTCTCGAAGTCACAAATGCCACAATGAAACGTATGAAGATGGCGGTGCAGGCCATTGAAAATAACTTTATTATCTATGAAAATTTTGCCCGTTGCTAACTTTTACAACACGTTGCAAAAGAATTAAGAAATATGTCTCTAATTAAGACAATTAAGACAATTTTGTACTTACAATGGCAATATTTAACTTCATTTGTTCCTTTAAATTTTGTCTGAATGTTTTGGCCATTGCATGATTAATTGTGCATACTACAGAGTACAAATAGAGAATATTTATCTAGCATGATTATATAATGAATATTCTAGGAATATTCTTATTGACGTACAAGGACAATGCTTTGTTGTTGTCGTTGGGCTTAACGCCATTTTTCAGCACACGATAAGCTATTCATGGCGGCCAGAATTAATGGTGTAGGAAGAAACCGTGAAATCACCGGAAAGAACCACCGACCCTCGATAAGCTCCTGGTAAGCTTTCTCACATATCCACATTCTCCGAATCTTAGTTTCGAACCCACGCAGACAGAGGTGAGATGGCAATGATCCGTAACGGACAGCAATTTAGACCACTTGGCCACTCAGGGCTAAAGGACAATGCAAATAACACAAGTGAAATCAGTTTTACGTGCAGGCCATGCAGAGACTTCAATCAGGTATGATATCAAGCAACTGAAATATATCACATATGACCAAGGTGGTGGTAGCTGAAGTCAAATATGACCAGACTGGATAACCGCTCCGGTGACCTAGTGGCTAGAGCGTCCGCCTCGGATGTGGGAGGTCCTGGGTTCAAACCCAACCGAGTCATAACAAAGACTTGTTAAAAATTTGTACTAACAGCTGCCTCGCTTGGCGCTCTGCATTAAGAGGTTAGTGTTAGGAGTGGTCGGCCTGGTGTTAGGATAATGTGACTGGGTGGGACATCATGCCACATGTCTGCGGCATGATGTTCCAGTGCTAGACATCACCATAAACCGTCACACTGCAGGAATTGTAACGATATGACTGAAAAATTGTTACAGCTACGTTAGAAATTTAAATCATTCACGCCGACTGGATAAGCAGTTGGCGTAATAGACGTTTTGTGGATAGGGTCATTTTCACGTGTTCTTCGTCCTAATGTACAAAGTTAAGTCTAAGTCGGGTTTAAAACACTTAGGTCCCTGTCAAATAGTCAGAGTCGTTCTTACACCTTCATAAGAATGTATTATTCCTGTCTTGTGCTGGATAGAGTTAATTTGTCTTTACATATGTAACGCTAGAGATGTCACCTGTATAAATGACAGCACGGTTTAAGAAAATAATAATTTATTCCCTGGAGAATTATACAAGTGATTTAGGACAAAGACAGTCAGTGAAATTCATTATAAATTGGAATCGTACTGCACAGATTGTGGTTCAACGTGAAATTCGGGACATTTGTGTAAAGACTGCAGCTGTCGTCATCATCCACCATCTTTAAACGAATTTGAGATTCACATTAGATTCAGATAGAACTGTTTATTGATAGGTCATATATTTTCACAATTCTAGGATAGATGTTTTGGATTTTCTTCACAACCCATAACTTCTATTTCATATTCTCACATTTTCACCGTGTTTTTAAGGGTAAGAAATTATTTTGGTTAAAACGTAGAAAGCTTGTTGTCTCCACACTTTTCTTTAGTTCCTTTTGAACGAGCATATACGTAGCTATATATATATATATATATATATATATATATATATATATATATATATATATATATATATATATATATATATATATATATATATATATATATATATATATATATATATATATATATATATATATATATGGTGCTGACAAGTCGTAACACTATTTTGTTCATGATAAGTGTTTATCAGGGCAAATTCTGCATATAATAAATATACCTAAATCGTTTACAACAGGTTCTTGTGACCATATCTGTATCAGATGAAGTGCAAGACGAGCAAGTATACCCGTTTTTGTTTTTTGTTTCTGTTTTTTGTTTTTGTTTTTGTTTTTCTAGAGTTAAGTGTAAGTGTTTAAACTTTTAACATTATGACTAGGCCCGAATTTGTACCCTCGACCTCCCGCATCTAAGGCGGAAGCCCTAACCACTTAGGTAACTGGAGAGGTAACTGATTTATGTTGTTAATATTTTTTGTTATAAATAACCTCTTAGTTCTATTACAATTTTGACTTGACTTTCATTACAACCTCAACGCAGTAAAGGTGACTCCAAGTCACCTTATATAGCAAATATCTATTTAAAGCATAATGTATAATCAACACAAACAAACTACGCACTCACATGTATTAACGATATTGAATGCATGTGAACCAGTAAAACTGGAAGAATCAATAGTCTTCGCAATTTAAAATATTAATCCATCATTAATGAAATCGTCATTATTTATTAATGCAATATTATTACAAAGTTGACACGTACAAACCACACGTGGGTGACACTAACTCGTATTTAGTCGTGATAAGTTATAACAAAGATGTTATTGATTCGCTTAACTTCCGATGTTAACTTACACAAAGATTATTTGCCTTCTTTGGTCATTTTACATAGAACATGTAAAAGCGTGTCGCAATTATTTACATGATCATTGAAGTGCGCAATGATTCTCTCCTGTACATTAGACATAGACATATCACAGTAAAACAAGGATATCATATTTGCGAATTTGTTACTTTAAGACATGATACTAGTAATTGGTAATTGATACATAAATGGGACTTTTGGGTCGGTTCCTTTCTGACCGGGCATTTTAAACACTAGCCCGTTTTGGTCATGGGCAGTTTTGGTCCGTTTTGAATATTATCCCTAAAGCAGATGTGGCCGATTGTAGCCAAATGGACTTTTATTCTTGTTGGAAATTGGAATACCTGTGTACATTCTAGCAACTGTATCATTCGAAATCCCGTGGTTTCATATCGGAACTGAAGTCAATATTAAAACCACCCATGAAGATTACTTTGTTGCAAAATCCCAAGTGGCCTCTAGCTCGCACTCAGATTGATCGGTTCATTATAAGAGATGGCGTTCAGGTCGGTAAACAAAAGCAAATATAAGTAGATTTCTATTGAGGAAACCTTGGTCGATTACTATTAATTCTGCACTAGATATTTCCAAGTCAAATTTTCATTCATAGTTAAGATTGTTGTAGACCTACTTGGCTCTCTCTCTCTCTCTCTCTCTCTCTCTCTCTCTCTCTCTCTCTCTCTCTCTCTCTCTCTCTCTCTCTCTCTCTCTCTCTCTCTCTCTCCTCCCATTCCTTGCTCTCGATCTTGTCTTTAAATTGTATCATTGTTAATAGAAACAACATAGTTAAGTGAATTATAGTCAAGAACGTTTCATACAATTCAGTACAAGATTAGAATAACTGGAACTGAAACAAACACTGTACGCACATTCAACTTAACATATATAGGTTTGCTTCAACAAAAAATGGAATAGATGAAGATTTTGTAAATGTCAGTTACTGTGTTAGTAAGTCGCATATATTTTATAACTGCTTTATCGTTTATGTTTGTAGTCTTCTAAATTTTGAAGAAAACATTAAATTCTACACGGACACTGTACACTAAAGGAAATAATAGCATTCATTCTTATTTGACGTATTGTTCATTTCAATCAACGAAATCAGTGTTTTTAAGAAGAGTGCTAACCAGGATGGGGTGGTTTATACGAGCACCAAAGGACATTGGGCGCCAAAACCCCTTTTTGGCCTTCATCGTCGCCCGCGCGCAGCTTGCCCTTAGTTCGCCACTAATGCTTTCTATACCTCTAGACAGACCTAAACAAGGAGAGCATTTGTTTTTCTAGATATCGATATTTTGGACTGATTGTGGATTGTGTATAGATAAAACAATTGACTAAAACATTGATAAACAAGCACATATTGTAACATCTTGTCGAAAGAGAAAGATGAAAGACATCTAGAATAACCTAATGGCTCAACTAAGTATATGACATACTTTAATATTTTATTTTCGACTTTCTTTAACTTTTGTGTTTTCTTTCGTTGTCTTTTTTCCTTATAATATTTAACTGTGTCGGTTTATTGCCTTCATATCATTCAAACGTATTTTTTGGTACTCCAAGATATATGTCGAAAACATTAATTATTTACGTTAAATCAAAAAACAATTTTCTGAGTTGCTCCTGACAAACAGTACAATGATATTAATCTGATTTGAGCACGATATGTTATAACTCTATTGTTTTTATTTGAAGAGCGTTTCAATTAAGTTGTGAAATGGCTAAAGCACAATATTCGTTGTACTGGAGATGGATATTGCTACAATTAAGTGATAATATTATATGGTTACAGTGACTACCTCCCCTGTAAACCTTCGAAGAAAACCACATCATTCAAACAATTTCATTTGTTGGTTGCTTGGCAACTCATCCATGAACAACAATATGGAGCAAATAATTAGTGAACGTAGATGTTAAGAGAAAACATCACTACAAAAGGGAAATACATGTTTATAATACAAAGTTATTCTATTTCGTTTCTGATATCTCATCTTGTCATTATACTTGCCAATTTCATGCTAATGGAAAATATAAAACATAAATCGTGATCGAGCACCGTGGGACCATCTCGCAAATGAAAAAAGACCAAAATAAATAAAAGAAGCAAATAATCCACAATTTGTCTGCAAATCTTTCATTAATATTGAACAATAAAAGCGGATACCTTTGATGTCAAACTTATTTTCTAGATGAATTTACATTTATTTCACACTTGTCTGAATAAATATTGATCTAATTTTGTTTCCTTCCACCTACAATATAATATTCCAGGATCGAGAAAGATATTAAACACCATAAATCAATAGTTTCAACTTTGATTAAAAAATGAATGGGCAACAAGTAGGCATTACTAATTTGTTGATTTCATGACAATGATTTGCCGAATCCTCTAGAGTTTGGCACTGTAGGTTTATCTGATAGCCCATTATCTGAATAATATTAATATACATCTCAATGCATCATATTATAGATATGCTTTATATAAATATATATATATATATATATATATTTTTTTTATATATATATATATATATATATATATATATATATATATATATGATTTATATATATATATATATATATATATATATATATATATATATATATATATATATATATATATATATATATATATTATTTGGCTGTGTAGGGTTTAATAACATTTTGAGTGCATGATGCGAGATATATATATATATATATATATATATATATATATATATATATATATATATATATATATATATATAAAGAATATATATATATATATAAAGCAAATATATATATAAAGAATATATATATATATATATATATATATATAAAGCATATATATATATATATATATATATATATATATATATATATATATATATATATATATATATATATATATATATATATATATATATATATATATATAGCAGCCAATATATATTTGGAGGAAGGTTTGATGAGGAACCAACGACCCATTTGAAGCTACTGACATGTTGTCTCACATATGAACATTGATCGAGCCGAGACTCGAACTCAGGCTGACATAGATGCTATGTGGGAGTGACGTGTATAGAAGAGAATTTTAGGCCACTTGACAAACGGAGGTGGGTTGGTGTCCAGAGATGTAACAATGAAATTGTCAGAGGACTGAACATACTTATATTTTTTTAACCGACTAAGATAATTGGTTGGGAGGAAGACGATTTGAAAGCCGTCAGTATATATATATATATATATATATATATATATATATATATATATATATATATATATATA